TTTTTTTTTTTTTTTTTTGTCGAGCTTTTAAAAGATACTGTATAAATCTATAAAGATGTTCCTCCAAAGAAGAGATACTTCCAATATAGTATGAATTGAAAAGACTTTTAAATGACTAATCTTAGGACTGCTAAAGAATGATAACTTGAAGAAAACAGAGTAAACTTCTCTCTCTTATAGCCTCCAGCCTGTAAGATAACAGTGTACAAATTCCTTTTCTGCATTTGTTTATGCCATAGAAACTTAAAACCTCGTTACTTCTGTCAAAACATTATTACGAGTACAGCCAAATGTTGAGTACTTAGTAATGGTAACTTTCTGCGTTCCCATCATTTCTTCTTAAGTCAGAAGCACAAGAAGGACACCATGGACAAAATGTTCTCATCAAAACAGGATCCAAACACGAGGCAGATGAAAAATCCCTCCTCCAGAGCTTTGCAGCAATTAGCCATTCTTAACGTACTTAGTACTTAAATCCTACATCTCTCTTAAGTCAACAAATACTGGAGCGGCAGCAGGCTCCCTTTTAATCGTCAAGCGTTGGGGCTGATTCTTGTCTCCCAAGGAAGCGAAGCAGTCTGTATGAGCACTGCTTCCACCTTGACCCTCTTCACGCGTCCTGCTGGCCACTGAGTTCAGTTTGCAGGGTCTCCAAGCTGAGGCAATTGGGGAAGCACGGTGCTGGGGACACTCGTGGTTGGCAGGTCTCTGAGCAACTGAGACAGTCACACATTCACAGAAGCCTACTATCTTACATTTTATCTAGGACATTTCAGTTTGGATAATACTACTGTTTGGTTAAAGAAATCTCCTTAACAATTGAAGAGAAGTTGTCACGTACCAAAACATGGACATTATTTTCACACATCCATGTGGTGAAAAAGGAGAACTAGCTGGGGGAAAAAAAACAAACATTCATCTTATTAACTCTGTTTGCAGCTATCTGCAAAGAAATGGAGATCACGAGGAATCACTGGTTAAACTAACTCTGTGGCTCACTTGAGAGGTAAAGTTGATTAGTACTGAGCTTCCCCACAACCTTGATTGACCTGTGCTGGATTGACAACTCTGACTATCCAAGATGGTAACAGGATCCACAATGATACCCAAGATCCAAGATGTGGCACATGCACGAGCATGTGTGTGCATAAGTGTGCATGTGCAGGTCAAATATTAAATTATGAATCTGCCTATGCCATTCTTAATTATAGCTGCTATTGGTTTCAGACTGATTTGTTACTGTTTTCCTTTAACTCATTTCATTTCCCCCACATGTTAAGTGTCAGTATCATGTTTATTATTTTGTGATTATGCGAGGGACCCCCAGGAGAAATTCTTCAAACTTTACAAAAGCAGTTGCACTGACTAGAAAATTGACCAAATCTGAAGAAAAATGAAAACTTCTGAGTTCCTGGTAAGTTAATTAACTTGCCTGTGAGGGTCCCGAGTAAAATCTGGTAACCAAAGACACTCTCCAGTGTCCTGGAATCATCTTGTTCTTTTTATCAAACATGGAACTGGGATTCAATAACTTTAGGAGTCGACCTCGAAATATTTCAGTTCTAGATCTGTTCCACGCGTCCCCCAAGATCTTCCCACCAGTGTAGCCTGCTCTTTAGCAGAGCTGCCCGCCATTCAGGTCACATGAGCTCAGAGAGGCCCTGTGAAGGAGCCGGACCATTCACCTCGCACGGATGTGGAGCACTGCACTTGCACAGCCCTCATGGGATGCTTGAGACTCAGTTCGGGAACTTGGAGCAAGTTCCGGGCAGGCAGCTCGCAGAGGGCACAGTCAGACAGAAGCAGCCTCACACTGGGTTCATCTTGCCTTGGACCCAACCGGGGACCCTTCCTTCACACTGTGGCTGGAGCTTCGGATTGGGCTCTGCCTGGCTTTCCAAGAGGCGCCCATTGCTAGTCTGAGCCGGAACCTTCCTGAGCTCGAAGCTGAGCAGGAAGGCTGGCGTCAGCACTGAGGTACGGTGAGTGCCGAGTCTGGGTTTGGATGAGGTTGGGAGGCACAGAGGACGGTGCTAGGCTGGGGCCCTGCTTCGGAGAGGAGTGGGTCGAGAGGAGGCACAGGAGCCCAGGGAAGACCCCAGACAGCAGTGTCCGCAGGGTGGGCGCTGGGAGCAGTACCTGGAGGAGTGTGGGAAGGGTGTGAGGGAAGCTGGGAGGTCATGGGAGCACGGAGAGCCCTGGGCCTGGGGACGCGCGTCTGAGGAAACCGCATGGGCACCTTGGCCGGGGACGCTGCTTTCCAGTGCATGGACACACAGCATGCACACACACACACACACAAGTGTGCACATGTGGGCACACGTTTATACAGGGCCCAGCCAGGACATGTGAGTGGACCCAACCTGCCATAGTCCACGTTTCATTAATTAGAATTTATATACAGAATCTAGTACAATGCAAATTGATGATTTTTACCCATCGTACATTCAGACAGTAATTTAAAACACAATTTCTTCCTGTAGGGATCTGTTGTTTTTTTTTTAAGTGTGTAGAATTGAATCTAGAATAATGTGTCTAAAGACAGAGGCCGCAAGTGTTTATTTTAAACTCTGACATTCACTAGTTCATCAAAATGCCTTGCCTATTCTCGTTAGTCATCATTAGCTCTCTAGAATTTCACTTTAGGAATGT